TGCCCAAGCACATGAGACCACACTGCTGCATGCGGAGAGGAAACACCGGTTACCGAAGCGATAGGCGCCGATGGAGTTTGCCCCATCAGCATCCAGTGCATGGTGCTGTAGTACAGACAGTCGCGAGTGTCTGAGCCAAGTTAGTTTGGTATGCCACCTGCTTTGGGAAGTTGGGCTAGTCAGAGTGCACGCTAGCAGCAGGTCATCGGTAGGTCAGCCGAAACCATAACACAGCCACTGTCTGGCATGCATGATTCTCCAATTACAGAATGCTTCAGTTGTGGCTGTTGAAAGAGTGTGGATCGATTCCGTTGATGAAAGCTGCCCCCCATCCCGACGCCTCTCTGTCGTATTCCTTCAGGTATACACTGGAAATGTGGAGTGTTTATGGGGCTGTGGGTGGCGAATTGTGAGTCACTCATGGTCCCTGTCAGTGCTGGCGTTTTGTTACTCTCCCCATTGAGATCACAGAGACTGGCGAATCCGGAACCGGATGCCATCTGACACATGGTGGAATGCAAAAGCCGTGTAACACATTTTTGTCCCGTTTCACATTAAAAGCCTTTGAGTTTTTTGACAGTTAGTTTCATTATAAAGATTATGAAAATCACGGTAACACGTTAGGATACACGTCTGCCATGGACATCGGTCCTTGGTCGCGACTTCCAGAGCTTCCAATCAGCGACCTCTCTGGTCAGTGGGACTCCAACCAGTGAGTAATAATCAACTGACCGTGTATCGTTAGAAGACGTGCAGTTGTCAGTTACAATCTGCTCATAGGATATTCAACCACATTACTATATAAATATTGCTTCCTCACCATAGGACGTGATCTTTTATATCGAAGCAGAATAAAAGTTAATCTAGTTGTCTTCATTGATACACTTGCTAAAAAAATATGTTATTGAAATTCATTGGTACACATGAAAAAATCAGCGAACTATCACACCAGGAACAACAATAATGCAGTGGTAGAAAGAGAGAAAGACGGATATAGTCTGTACACCAACTAAGCCCAACGACAATCCTAAGACCCGCAAGCTTTTGGGAACTCCTGAACCTTTGCATGACCACTTATTTCTGCTTTGATGAACAAGTATACCAGCAATTAAGAGGAACTCCCATGGGATCTCCCATTTCGGGACTCATTGCAGAAGCCGTAATGAAGAAATTAAAGCGCATCACACTGCCATCTATCAGCCCAAAACTCCGGATACGATACGTGGACGACACGTTTGTCATCGTAAAACGGAACCAAGTACTAGCCACGCACGAGCTGCTTAACAACACATTCGAGGATATCAAATTCACGATTGACTTAGAGAAGAATAACAAGTTGCCATTTTTGGATGTACTGGTCACTAGGAATCCCAACGGAGCTCTGCAAACGTGCGTTTATCGGAAGAAAATGCATACGGACCAGATATTGAACTACCACAGCAACCACCCGATGAATCGCAAGAAGAGCTGCATTCAAACCCTATTCAAAAGAGCGGAACCGCACTGCAGCACATCCGAATTGCGGAAACAGGAAGAAAAGCATCTATACCAAGTGTTTAAAAACAACGGTTATCCGAGAAACTTCATCAGAAGAAGCCTAAAGCAACGAACGTCTCATCATCAACAACAACAGCAGCAGCAGCAGCAGGCACCTGAGCAAGCAAACAAACGAATAGTGCTCCCCTACATAAAGAACGTCTCCGAACTAACAGGATGATTACTACAGTCATATGGGATCTCTGTGACTCACAAACCAAGTGCTACCCTAAGGAAATTGATCTCAAGACCCAAAGGAAAAGTCAATCAAGCCGACCAATGCAATGTCATCTATCAGCTAAAATGCAACGACTGTGATAAAAACTACGTCGGACAAACTGGAAGAAAGCTTTGTACACGAATCACCGAACACAAGGCGGCCGTCAGAAGACATGATCCGCACTCATTAGTTTCTGTGCACGGAGATCAAGAAGGCCACCATCTCGCTCTGGAGCATGTTAAGATCTTAGCACATGGAAGTACCAAACACGCCAGGGAGTTTCTGGAATCCTGGTACTCCACAACGAATTCAATCAATCGCCACATCGAACTGGACGCAGTATACGCAGCACTACTGGCGAAAGACCGCCAACTCAATCGATTGAATCCAGTGGAACGTGTGGCTGGCCAACCAGAACTGATGGCAAACTCGCCCACAAGCGCAAGCAGACAAAGGCCACGAAACACAAGGAGTCAAGGTCAAAGGTCACCTGCCCATCAACCAGGCTGAAGGCGGATCGAAATCCAAACCAATAGGATTGCTCGCCTCCACGGGCAACCACGGCGGTATAAAAACGCACGCACACCACGCTCAGCGCACTCTTACCGAGGCTCCTCTACGCTATTCTACGCTACTGCACGCCACTCAACTACGCACTGATGATGTCACCTCGATTGGTGACGAAACGTTTGCAACCAAATAGCCAAGCTCAGCGAACAGTTCACCAGCCATCTGTACATCTTTTTCCTAACAGATATTCGATATTATAGAACAGACTTCAAAACTTTCTACTTGCAATTCAGTCATCGATCATGTCTCGTAAACTCATACATGCTTTTGCCAATGCAAAAGTGCTTGTGGTATCTTGCGACCAAAAAGGCAAGAATGGAATCAGCAGTATGCCGATACGCGGTACAGACACTTCGATGCTGTGCAACAACCTACAGTCGCGCGTGGGCTGAGAGTACTACGAGGGTCGCCCGGTCCCCTACGCAGTCACGAACCGATTCCCTCCGGATTACAGGGCAGGCTTGTGATCCACTTGCCGGCCTTGAGACCGAATTCGACAGAGGAATCATCTATGAAATAGGTGCACAGCAGTTTTGATCTGGATGTCGAGTTAGCAACTTTTGTCCTATGTCGATAGCTTTTTCGTTAAAAACACCGTTATACTGACTTAAAACGGTTTCCTAAAGCTTTGTACCAAGATCAAAACTAGCAGCACCTTTTTGGTGTGATGACCAGAAGTATCCCCCTAATCCAGCGTTTGAGTTAACCAAGGCGCAAATTTGTCTTCACGATTTGTTTCCATTTGATCTACATTGCTAACTCATTCCTATTCTTCGCCTGAGGCAAGCACTCCCCCACACCTAGCAGTTATCAGTATTCATCCTTTCTGCTTTGCGATTGCTTACCATTGATAGATCTATCGGAAAATTCCTCTTCTTCTGCCTTGTTCACAAATGCCTGGAAGGGTTATTTGTTTTCTTCGATCCGTGTATAACTTGAATCGGACGAAGCATCGGACTGTCTCCCACTCAAATGAAATGCGCCATTATCTGTTATTGTTACTTCGCTTGGTTCCTAGATTGTAGTTTTGTCATTTTTTTTACAACGACTAGAGCGATCTCCTGAGGTGATGCATTGAAACTTCCAAGCTACTCAATAAATCCATGTAAGGCGAATTGCGTTTCACTCACTGGCGAGTAATAGAAGTGCCTGAGTGGAAAGAATCTCATAATAGAACCGGCTGGACAGCTTGAATGCAAATTCCATATGCATGTAACAGCGAACTGTCAAGTGGCCAACCGTGCATCAAAAAGTCAAAGTCTGGGCTTCGAGCAGAAATTCATTATTCATGAAACACAAGCTCATTGTATATCGAGTCAATGAGAATCACTCACAGATGCAGAATAAATCTCCTTCCTATTACATTCTTGGCCAGCGTTCGAGTTTCGTTCAACGTCGATCCAAGTCAATTGCATGCTATCCTTCAGTTTGCCTCTGCAGCGATGGACCAGCTTTCAGCCTGTTGGCCAAAAATCGTTAGGCTCGACCGATCGCTAAGCGACGGGCATCTAAGTGTAGTATCTTACCATCACGCGAGCTTAAAGATGAGTTAACACGGCGTTAGCTTACTTGCCTTTAATTCACACAGTCACGCGACCAGATGGGACGTGGAAATCCGCATGTAAGTTACTCCCCGAGAGATGGTTCCACCGCTGACTGTATAAACTCTATTGTACGTTTGCCTGTATCTACACTTACTTTTACTGGTAACTTTTTCGCCTTCCGATCTAGTTAACTGTTCAACCACTCTGAAAATGCATTTAGGGACCGAATCGAATAAACCGAATAAGTATCTACTTTATGCGATCCCGCTTTATAAATTGATCAGATCACTTGGTGGACTATATCTCGTGCCATCGAGAAGTATACTGTTCAGGTATGTATGTATGTAATCTTAACAGCCTAGCAACTACAGCTAGAGCCAACATACTATTCATTCATACAGACGGAGTTCCACTGAACCTAATTAATCGCTTTACGCCCGTTGACATTCAGTGAGAGTTTCTTTCGTTTCACCACGAAGTTTGGTTACCTTGGTGACCACTGTCATGCTATTTACATGGCTGATTCCATCAGTACTCGCTTATGGTTTTTCCAGCCTGGATCAATTGTGGTGCATGTAAGATACTTGATGATCATTCAGTTTGTTTCTCCTGGATAAAATGCATTGTAGGTTCCTGGCTAATTTTGATCACCCGTCATTCATCTGTTTGTTTTAATAGTTTACCTTCGCTCTACATGCGAGCCTGGTGATTCAATATTTCCGGCCTACTTCCACCGTCACGGTTTTCACGGCACTATGTTAGCATCGCAGGCTGTACTAACTAGACATCATTTATCTTAAGCAGAGAGCAAGTATGCCGTGAACGCATCCACACAACAAGCACCGCTTCCTTGTTTTCTTGTCACAATTCCCCCAGACGCATCTGCATTAGCATGTGGACATTCCATTCCAATTCCCTATGATTGATTTGTTGATCACGATTATTTCCAGTCACCATTTTGCTCACCTTCCTCTCAACCATAACGTCCTGTCCTGACGCTTGGCTACAACATCCACTGGGTTGTTGGGCCACCTTACTTGCACTTACCCTGTAGTATGTGGATAAAACCTCGAATTTAGTTATTTTTATTTGGGTGGTAACAGTGCATTCTCCTACATGTTCACTCATAGGTCTGCACATTGGAAATGCAGTCACTCTGCCCATTGCTGGAGCACTCTGTCAAACATCCATTGGATGGTCATTGGTCTTTTACTTTTACGGTGAGTTTTTGAAAAAGCACTTTAAGAAGTATCACACTCCATACTGTACCATCTGCAACTATTTAGCTTTGCACTTACTTGGGCTGTTGAAAGCCATCGTTCTCCTCACTGGACACTTTCTAGTAAACATAGCTTTTTCAACGGTTAGAAGGTGGATGACAGTTGATTGCGTTATACATACAAAATCACTTTTTCTTACTTGCATTGCCGACTTTGCGTCCCTTTTAACACTCGCCCAATCTATGTGCTATGTGACTGCACTCAGTTAGATCGTGTATACTTCTAACGTTTCCTGGAGTTGAAGGAAATTTCTTATTATCAGTGTTATTACTGTGAAATTATACAGCATTTTGGCTACCACACAATGATGTTAAGTCCTTGAAAGGCAATAAATCGTACTCGCATAGTGGACTTTTTATCTGAGCTGCCTCTTCGGTAAACGTTCCTTCTTCTCACACGGACACAGGTATGAAAGTTATTAGATAGTGATATCTTTGGATTGCTCAAGTGCCCAGCGTGCATGCAAGTTGCTCCTGTTTGATGAAGGCAGGATATTTATAAATTTTGTTTGGGCTGCTTATTTGGGCTCTTAACTTTGCGATATATTTCTTCCATCAGCGATGCTATCGAGAATGCCGGCAGCCTGAATTGTGAAGGTATCGCCACTCACGAATTCATACTGTAAACACGCTACCCTTATCCAGGTGCACTTGAATCATTGTGCTCAGTACAACACCAGTAAACGAGGAACCTACCAATTTGGAAGCTCCTTCTTTAAACTGTGGCAATCGCAAAGATCAATGGAGCATACTGTTATACCGCGGAAACTCCTTGATCTTCGTCTAATGCACTAATGTGGGAAGGAAACAAAATTGAGTGAGGCGTGAGAGGAGGCGAACACACCCCATGCACCAGAGTTCATTCCCAGCTTCTTACACCGCTTCTTGCACTTCGTAACGATAGTTGAGACTTCTCATGTGTAGGTTTGCCACCTGAACAACATTGTTAAAATTTTACCTTGCCTTCACCAGCGCAAGTATCTATAGTCGAAAGCTTATGTAACGGTCTGCATAGCGTTTGATTTAAACTTCAAAACTCGGTGCGCAATACCACTGCATTTGACACTTTAGGGCCTTCTATTTCCTTGAACACATTGGCAGTCCTCGTCACTGTCCCATCGCTGAATTTCGAAACCTCCGCTTGTTAACCGCGATCATCTTTTGTGCGTTTCTTGAGGAGCAGTTGCACGTTCCATGTGCTGCAGCGGAAGAGCGGTGCATTTTAGTGTACTACATGATAGCATAGAATTTCCTCTCGGTGGAAGAACAAAATCATTATTTTGGTTCACCAATTGACTCTACTTTTGACTTCGTCGGTTCATACCCCCAGAAAAATAATGAACTACTGTAAATCACATGCCTCATGTCCTGATTCGGAATATGCACACAGGTTCCCGACTACATTCAGCTTTCAGTTACTCCGTAGTTGTCGCATTTCACCTAGCCCTGATTGCTGTTAACTGTGCAGTGGCCGAGTGCTTTAGACGCTTCTCAGTATCCCGATCCCACGCTCGACTGGCGATGGTCCTGTGGTAGAGAAGCGTAAGCACGAACTACCAGATTACTGCTAACGCTCCTGTCTCATCCAAATCGGAACTTGACTTGATAAGATGATTCACCTGTCATTCCAACTCAGTAGGCTATCCTTGGTGGTACTTTCAGGATCAGTGGTGGTAATATCAAGTTAGCATTACTAGAGACCACTAGTTTACGTTTCTATAGAGGCCATTTGTTGCCGCTCTTTCATACAGATTAAACCCGAACCGCTTACTTTGGGTAGGTCATGTCCACGGTATACCTAATGACCGTCTTCTTATCCCTCCCGCTTGCGCTTTTTCATCCTTATTGTCCCCCTCTAACTTTACTTTTACCTCCCTGTTTTAAATCCTTCCATTTCCCGCCCTCCCCTATTTTGCTTCAATGGTCGCTTGTCTTCCAAGCTCAACCCACATCTATTCTCAGGGCGTCACTTAAGTCGTTGACAAATCCATGTGCAACCAAGCGGACAATGTCCGTTCATCCAGTCCTCTTTGGAGTCCCCGATCCTCGCTATGATTAACAAGCATCAACGTGCACATTTCGTTACGGATTGTCAAACAGGCAACACTTGACCGAACACTATACCCTTTCTCAATTCGTTGCATCGTTCCCCAAAATGTTTGCATCGGTCACGCTTGAAACTGCAGCGTGTGCGTCAGGTGACAGGCGTGTCTTATCTTTAGGTATTGCAATACAGTATTTGAAATGTTTTTCTCACCCTCATCTAATGTGTAATGATACTGGTGATTGCGGGGTAAGCAGCGGATGTTGATGAAGAAACTTACTGAGAGAGTTGGTCCCGCTGGATGGAGACTTCGGAAGTTATCACTTCACTGCTTTGGGACATTATTCGACATGATACTCCTACGTTCGTCCTATTGCATCCAGCTCCAAAGCCTGCAGCCCGATTGATATTTACCGCTTTTACTTCCAACAGCCCACTTCGTATTTTTCCTTGACTTACGACTCGCCTTCATTCCATTGTTAACTATTATCCTCTCAGCGACGCCAGTCACAGCAACTAGCTCCACCACACTTTCTCTCCTAGATCTTAGTTGTTTAACTGAATTGACCAGTGATTAGAGGTCGGATTACTCCAGTCAATTTACTCTACAAATAACGGTCGGAATTGGACCCCCACTGATTTTTGTGGATCATAGTCGTATTTCCGCTTCCCTATGATCGAGCTTTCTTGCTGAGTTTGGGTGCACTTGTAATATGTCAATGTTTTGAGAATATTCGCAGACCACGATGATATAAGAGATGTCGAGTTGTTCTCTAGACCGAACGATTTGTTTACAGGCGTCCCGCCGCCCGACCAATAAACATCGTTTTTCCAACCACCATGGAGATAGCTTGTCTTTGTCGCTAAATTACTCCCATTGTTGGTGGAAGTCACCTTTCACCTTCCATGCTCTTCGTTGTCCCATTGTATTGAACTTGGTGGGTGACAAACTGATCAGAGAATAAACACAGGGCATCTGCATAGCGATGCCATCCATCTAATTGATCGGAAAGCCCTTAGGACAATGCATATGTAAGTTCAGAATACTCAGTTCGTTCTGGGAGGCATCATGATAAAGCACAAGCAAAAAGTGCTGGAACCTAGGTGTATTTATCGCGGTCTGGCCATCAGGCAAAACGAGACGTACACTAATACAATTCATCATAAAGAAGAAAGCGATCAGTCCGTCAAACCTTCACTCTTTTACCTCCGCTCAGTGGACCACCACGAGGCCTGGGGGCTGGGAAGTACCTTCTGATTGACAATGAAAGCGAAACACAAACAAAGGGGTTACAGCTTTTAAAGGTTCAATAATATGTTGCTCAGTTTTTTTATTGGAATATCTGCAACCAGATCGCTCGTCTGGGATGTTAGTCTAACATCTTCCTCCTGGTAACCTCACCTCACCCTGTCACACGGAATCTCCAGCTCTTTCTGACTCAGTCTTTGTGAACTTTCGAATCGGTCAACATAGTTGTTACATTCAGAGGCGTGAGTAAGCGAAAATAGACTATTGCTGCTGCCGTCTCCCCTTCTTTTCGCCTTGTTGTTGCATCTCGCCCACCCTCCATCAACAAACTTCGTTCTGTAGTCACCAACCTGACAACCAACCTTACAATCTGCATCCACTCCACCAAAGTCCTCATTAATATCCTGATCTTAAAAGATTTCCACTAGCTCACACCTCTCGCGTTCCTTGGCTGAGTTTGGCATTCGTATCCTAGGCTTGCGCAACTAGTGGCAACCTCAGATGCATTTAATACTATAAATATCTACATTTATTGCTCCGCAAGAATTTTCATTTGGATTTCTATTACGGTTACAATCACGGTGAGACTGGCTCTTAATATGGTGAAGTGGTTTGCGTACCCCCGTGACCCATTGCGCTGCGCTGGTTCGCACTCTCCAAGTGGTTTCAGAGCCATTCGATAACTGACAGGTCAGTGGTCAAGGGTCAGCAAGCTCATTCACAATCATCTTCGGAGATCGAAGATAGTTCAGTGCCTTAATTCTCCAAATCTATTCTTAAAACTGGTTTACTGGTTATAAGCTCGCTATTCGACTGGACTAGAACACGTTGGGAGGACACCGCCCGGTACTCAATACTTTGCTACGGCCTGTCTCAAGTCAGGCAGCCCCTGGACAAATTGGTGCAAACCCACCAACTCTCACTTGCAGTTGGCCCTGGTCGCAGGCGCGTAACTTGGTTAGAAGCATCCGATTTCGGCGTTCGTTGCCACTGTGGACTCTCGAGGAGTGCCAAAGAACGCCTTCGCCTGCAGAGATCACGGGTGGCCTGCGCTGCTCCATCCACAATGCCATCAATACACCCCATTCCCAATGTATACCTGAAGGAATACGACAGAGAGGCGTCGGGATGGGGGGCAGCTTTCATCAACGGAATCGAGCCACACTCTTTCAACAGCCACAACTGAAGCATTCTGTAATTGGAGAATCATGCATGCCAGACAGTAGCTGGACCACAGCCCATTCCACACCAGATGCATGGAACCACCCTTTGAGCATAGCATCGTCAAGAGGACCCCGCACTCCGTCCTCACCAACAACGACCAACTGTTTCTTGAAACCAGTGTAACAGAGGTAGCGGTTTTTCGACAGATAAGTACCTTGTCAACATTCACATTAAGCGTAGCCACAACGGAGTTATCAATCATCAGCCAACAACTGAAATGTACGAAAATCAACACGCATGTACACGGGTAGACGAAGTTCAGCGGTGAGGTAGCACGTCGACTGCATTCTGGCTTGGGTTAGCAAATGGAGTTGAATGGGAAGCAGCGCACATACGAAGCGCTGCGCTGATGAGTACCTAATCACCTGGCTCGCTTCCTCCTTGATATCGGCCCCACGTGCCCACACAGGTGGCATACCAAACC